AATTTTTTTTTATGTTGGACCATCATAAATCAGTCCGAATTCCTACATTGGGATGATGGTTGTTCATGATTGTTCCAACATTTGATTTCTAAGATACTATGATGGAAATTCGTGATTTTCCGTAATGGTAGAACAATGCATTTCTATGATGGTGGAATAATAATTGTTGGTTAAGCAGGAATATTGCATCAAAAGAATTTTTTTTTATGTTGGACCATCACAAATCAGTCCGAATTCCTACATTGGGATGATGGTTGTTCATGATTGTTCCAACATTTGATTTCTAAGATACTATGATGGAAATTCGTGATTTTCCGTAATGGTACAACAATGCATTTCTATGATGGTGTAATAATAATTGTTGGTTAAGCAGGAATATTGCATCAAAACAATTTGGTTGCTTTTTATGTTGGCCTATCATAAATCAATCCGGATTACTACATTGGGATGATAGTTGTTCATGATTGTTCCAACATTTGATTTCTAAGATACTATGATGGTAATTCGTGATTTTCCGTAATGGTGCAACAATGCATTTCTATGATGGTGAAATAATAACTGTTGGTTAAGCAGCAATATAGCATCAAAACAATTTGGTTGCTTTTTATGTTGACCTGTCATAAATCAATCCGGATTACAACATTGGTGTGATGGTGGTTCATTATCGTTCCAACATCTGATTTCTAAGAAACTATGATAGAAATTTGTGATAATTCAAATTATCAAAACAAGTTGCTATTCTGATGTTCGACCATCATAAATCAGACCGAATTCCAACACTCGGGTGATTGTTACTTATGTTGGTTACCATCAAAAATATAATGGTTCATGATGGAATTATTGATGGTAAATTTTGACTTGAGGTGGTAGACATTTAAAAACCAAAGCTTTCCAAATTTTAGGTAATTCTGACAACATTTTAAAAGCCTGACGACAAAAAAACTGGAACAAAGTGGCGTAGCATATGAACTTTTAAAACATTTGCATGTAATGTTGTTGAAAATAGGCTTAAATGAATAAAAAATTATATATTATGACATTAACTTAGCTACCACTAGAATAACTTTATACAAAGAGCGTAGAAAGTTGGCTACCTTGAAAAAAGGGAGCATGCTCCTCTAACATTGCTTTAACTTCTTTTTTTTTCCTTGGAAAACATTTCTAGTGACTCTCAACACTCTATGGACTTTTCATTCCATAATTGAAATTTGTTTTTAACCAAATTTTCAATATTTAATGAAAATAATAAATGTACTATATAGTACCTTTGAAATATTGTACTTTCTTTTTTTTCTCATCAAGCTCAGTTCTTCTCTCATACATTTGCGTCCGAATAAAAGGAAGGATCAGTATGCCATCACTATTCCTGAAGAGGTATCTCAGGTAATTTACTTCAGTTTCTTTTAATTTTTAGTTTTTCTCTCTCAATGGTACATTCTTTAAAATGTTTAAACTGGTTTAAGAAATGTTATTCGATACAAGTCAAAATGATTATATTAACTTATGGCCACTAGAAAAAGTTTGGAAAGTGAGAAAAAACTGGAAGTAAAACTATTGCATTTCCAGCATATTTTCGAGAGGGGTAAAATGCCCGTGATTACTATGATTTATTTAAGTTATAACATATGTGGATTAAAATGTTATGCAGAGTGTCTGCCGTTTTAAACAAAAATCTGCTTTTGTCGATCTGCTTACTGGTAAGTCTGGCATACTGGTACAATATTCAAATTAAAGCAACTTAACTTTCCACCCGGTCTCATCAAATAACTTTACTGTTCTCTCAAATAGAACCTTTCAAGTATCAATTCAAAACTGCAAATCATCAAAAAGAAATATCACAGCTAGAGAACCTCAGGGCAGCATTCTTGGACCGATTCTATATATTTTATACATTTATGATTTTTCCAAATTATAGAACAGATTACAATAGTGTTACAGATTTTTATGCAGACAACACAGGAATCATCATCAAATCAAGAAATCCAAATACAGCATTAATAAAATTACAGGAACAAATACACGAAATGGAAGACTGGTGTGTTAAATGGAAAATATGAGATAAATCTCAAATCTTAATTATACAAAAAAAGAATAATAAAAATATTACCATAATGTAAACCAAAAATTTTCAATATCCAAATACCCTTTGTCAAAAAAGCAAACTACCTCGGCCTCTTAATAAATAGCAAACTCACCTGGAACGACCATATCAAAAATACAATAGATAAAGCAAATGCAGCAACAATAGTTATACAACCACTCATCTACAACCAGAATACGTCATTAAAACTAAGAAAACTGCTCTATACATCGATGATCAGACCAATTCTTACGTATGCCCAGTGTTGCCAGGTGCTGATAACCGTTCACCCCCAGATAGCGTTCTAAAATCCCCTAAAAATTTTTAAAACCCCCCAAAATTTTTAACTTATTGTATAAGTATTAAAAAATAGTACAAAAGTTAAATAATGTATAGAAAACGTTGCTTTAATACTTTTTAATATTTTATTATCAACAAATTAATAATGTGCTGATAATTAAAAAAAAGGATGAACAATTGTACTAGTAATTTACTTTTAAACTGCTTTTCGTGTTCCCAATCTTTCTTGTACTTTTGTACGTACTTCTTTTTTTCTTTATCCTTTGGCATTATTTTTAAACCATGCACATTAAAAATTTTAAATAATTTGAATTCAAATTCTCCAAACGTACTGGTTGATCGAGCTAAGTAATAACCTACTACATTCAACAAAGGGGTAAAGGTCTAAAATTATATCTTAATTTTATTGTTTTGGTTTAATATATTGATTTTCATATTACCATCTCACACATTCAGTTATAGAATTTGATGTTAGAAGGTAACCAAAATAAAACTAGTAAAATTCACAAATAACCCTAAAACAAACCCCTAAAAACCAATTCCCCTAAAATACCCACTGAAGATAAGAAATGCCCCTAAATTTAGGGGGAAAACCCCTAATCTGGCAACACTGCGTATGCCTCACCTGCCCGGACAACCATACCGGAATACCTCATGCAAAAGCTTAACCAATGCGAAAACAAAATACTAAGAAAAGTCACCTGTGCCAGCCAAATGGTTCATCAGAAATGCAAATGTTCACGAAGACCTCAAAATCCCGATCCTGACCCACAATATAATCGCAAATTAAATGCAGATTTCTTGGACAAGGCTAAAAAATGTAATACAGCTAACTTTAACCAGATGTTTAACTCACTCACTTTACATCCGACGCCTCATATCACCATCATCAAAATGAATAAAAGCTTTAAAATTTTTTTATCACAGATCAACCTATAACATCAGCTTCTACAACTACAATATTGAAAGTTCTTCTAAGCGTTACCGCTAGTTGACCATCAACAAGCATTCAAAACTCAAGGCACACATAGTTTAGAGCAAGCTGTTGCGTTTCATTTTCATTTTTATCATTTTTTCAAGCAAAGTGCTTGAATCCACCTGACAGCAACCACATTGCCTCCTATCCTCAACGAAACCAAACAAAATGACAAATACTACGCGAAAAATGGGATAGGGGCCGTTTCGCAGCCCAGGCTTCCAGATCCAAAAGCAAGACAATTCTTTTATATTTCAGAAAATTATGTTGGAAATAACGAGTGTACTATTTTACAATAAATGACTGACAATTCACAAAGCGTTAATCATCTTTTGTTAAAGTATTAGGTTGTCAAAAGCGATGTCAAAAACAAAGAAGCTCAAATTCCTACGATATTTTAATAGCCAAACGTAAAAAGAACGCAATATCATAAATACAATTTTCAATGTTTGAAGATTTTTAAAAAAAATCTGATAATTTTGTGTAAAATAAATTTTTTGTTCCATATTCCACATTTTAGGCTGACTCCAACAATGATGTTAGTTGTAGCTTTCTTTGCGATTATTGGACGTTTTGGATCTGGACCTCTGTGGAAAGAAATTGTTGCTGATTCATTGAGCAAGAACTGCTTAGAAAGAGGATGGATGAATATGTTTTACCTTAACAACATCTTTTATTCGCCCAAAACAGTAAGTTTTAAAGATTCTAGGTATACTTTCAGGTCAAATTGTACAGCATTATACCTCTAAATTCGTGTCCCTACTAAATACGCGCCTGTATGAAAACCGATTTCAGAAATGCTTTGTCTGCCAGAAACAGTGGTCGGTAAAACTACATTATTTTTGCAGTTAAGTATAACTGCAACAACTTTATTACAAATTTAGTTAACTACAGCTACAACTACTGTTCATTAAATGTGGGTACTTACAAACTACATTTGAAATGTAGTTACTAATTCACTACTTTTAGAAGACGAACTTTATTTACACCTATGTTTAAAACAATTTTGAATAAACACTTAGCTTATTTAAACATGAGAAATTATTAAGAAATAGTCATTCAGGTTTACAGGAGCCAGTTTGTTATTTTAGACTATTTTGTTACGAATTTGTTCTTTTAACCTTTATTTTTTACTTGCGTTTCTTGCTATTTACTTGCTAATATTTGCTATTTTGTAATTGTTTAATGCTCTTTTTACCGAAAGAAATAAAGTACACCAAAAATAAGAAGGAAAATATGTTCCTTTCCTTTGAACAAGAGTATACATGCTTATTTGAAGGGGTGACCAAAGTGCTAAATTAGCTAATATTGGTAATTAAATGTTAATATTAGTAATACATAATTCTTCTTAACGCTCGGCCACAGGGGTATTCTGATTACGTTTATTGACGAGCATGCGAAGATTTGTACCAATACGATTCGAAAAATTAGTTGCGATTGAACCTTGTTTCTTAACTAACGTTAAAAGTTTTTTATTTTTTTTTTTTTTTTTATTTTTTTATTTCCAATGAGCTGCACAGTCGGTCTTGCCGATGAGCAGACCTAGTGCGTTCTCCAGAGGTGGTATCCACTCTTTCAGGACCACCACAATGGGTGAGATACCGTTGGTCATGTTAATTTAGACGTCTAGTTTCTGCCACACTAGATGGCAGCACTGAGACTCTATTTGGATGCTAAAGTGCACTAGGAATTTAACTAACGTTAAAAGTAGCTTCCAGCAATTGCTACAAATAACTTTTTTTTTAAAAGTAGCACTACACACTGCGAAAAAAGTAGCAACTACAGTTGTTTGTTACAGAGTTGAAAAAAATTGCCTAGAATCTTGCTTGAGTTCGCGTTTAACCCTTTCGCGCCGACTGTCACAAATACGTGACAGCAAAAAACCGTATCAATCAGGGTAAGAAGATAAAACTGGTAATCAAAGTATTTCTTTAGCAGTTTATTTGTAGGCGGAGTTATAATTTTTTGATTTATTTAATTCACCATTACTTTGTTCAAAATAAAACTATTTAGTTATACTTTGAATTATCATTGATTGTATATATGATAAAACTAACAATAATTAAAATAAAAGCAAAGTAAGTCTGTAAAATTAGTAACGACTACATTTAAGTTACCGTTTTTTATTTAATTGCAACTTGATTCTGATTTCGTACGAATGCTTTTCTGAATCACCCGTCCCCAAGGGGTTAAATGCTAGAGCGGGTTATGAAAATTTGATGAGTAGACTCGTATTATATGAGTAGACTCAATAGGCAAAATTTCCGAATATGCAGTATCCGCAAAAATTTTGCTTGTTTTCCTTATGTAGCAGAGATGCCAACTGCTCCGGACACAACAAAATAACTGAAAAAAACGGTAAATAACTGCAAAGTAAATTTTGCAAACATTTGACGATTTTGCATGCTTTTTAATAGGTATAACATGACTGAAGTACCTGCTGGATCATGTAATTTTGGCAAGGTACCTGCCCGCGCAAGCGGGCACTAGACCTCTGATCTGTGTTATGCCCTAGGGCGACTGAAACTAATGGCATTGGAAGACTGAAGTACCATAAAGTGGTGAATTATATAAGCTTACGAATTATTTAGAAATAGTGGTGGATAAAAATCTACTCAATTAAATTTATTAAACCAAGAATCACAATTGATAAACTACCACTTTAAAATATATATTTTCTGTCCGGAGCAAGTTGGCATCTCTGATGTAGTATTATAGTCTTTAAAATATCCTTTGAAATGCAAAATTACTTTCTTCGCAGACCGGGCGTGTTCCAGCTGGAACCTGTACCTTAACTCTTGAGGTGCCTCTCTTGGGGACGAGACCTAAACGTGTGCCCAAATATCCCATATTAGGGGGGGGGGAGTAAATAGTAGCTTATTTCAGATAGAGCTTTTAACCCGTTTTGTCCCGAATATCTACTATATATTGAAATGATACAAAAAGTGGTTTTATGGAAAAAGTGGTAAAATATATTATCGAAATTAATTGTTTTTTCTATAGTTAGAGCAATCAGAAAGTCTTTGATAGATCAAAAAGTACTTGCTCCTTATAATTCTAGATCTAATCAGAAATAACTAAATCATCGTGGTATCTGAGAATCTTTTAATTCCCCCAGATAAATGAAAATACTGAAAAAAGTTTCCCACCACAATGAATGTCTTTGAAAAAAGGAACTGTCCTAAATACATACCTGCAAACTTTCACGCATTTGGCGTAAAATTTCATTTTCATATTTAAAGTGGTAGTAAATATATGCTATTTTTTCTTTCATAAACTTAATTTTTAAATGATTTTGATCACCACTATTCTTAAAAAAATTAAACACACATATTAATGTGTGTTTCTATCACGGTTGCCAGCATAAGCTTTTTCAAATACAGCGTATTTTTTTGCTTAAAATTGAAATTCTATTTAAATACCACTGGGAAAAATGATCAAGGAAAGGATTAAAAGTTGGCAGGTATGTAAATATATGACGCTGGGCGTTAACCGGATAATTGCTTAAGTTTAAGTATGTTTTATTTATGAATTTTATTTAATTTAACTGGTGTTTAAATCATTTTTTAATTTTTTTTATCTAGTTTACTATTAAACCTTTTAGGCTTCCCTTTAATTTCTTTTTAAACCTCTAGGGGTCCCTCTAGTTTACTATTAAAACCTCTAGGAGTTCCTCCAGTTTACTATTGTAAAAAATGTTTGATGCTTATGCAAGTATTAGTTGTCCCGCAGTGGACTGATCGTTAAGACACGGTTCCCAGCAGATCACCGAAGTCAAGCATCACTGGCTACGGTCAGTGTGCGGGTAGGTGACCACTTGGATCTGTCTGCGTAGGGACCGAGGGTGTGCGGTATTGGTCCTCGTTAAACTGTGCTAATGTAAAGTGCTCGACTTCGCGTGCAGGTCGNTAGCGCACAACACTACAAAATACGGAAAAAAATGAGACTACAGTAGTTTTGCTACTTGTAGCGTGCTATTTTTGACCACTGGACATGGTAAATAACTTTGTGGATAAAATCAGATCAATCCACAAATGGAAAGAAGAGAGAAACTAAATATATTGCGAACAGAGTTGAAAAAAATTGCCTAGAATTGTTGCTTGAGTTCGCGTTTAAATGCTAGAGTGGGTTATGAAAATTTGATGAGTAGACTCGTATTATATGAGCAGACTCAATAGGTAAAATTTCCGAATATGCAGTATCCGCAAAAATTGTGCTTGTTTTCCTTATGTAGTATTATAGTCTTTAAAATATCCTTTGAAATGCAAAATTAAATTCTTCGCAGACCGGGCGCGCTCCAGCTGAAATCTGTACCTTATCTCTTGGGGATGAGACCTATTAAAACCTCTAGGAGTTCCTCTAGTTTACTATTGTGAAAAATGTTTGATGCTTATGCAAGAATTAGTTGGACTGATCGTTAAGACACGATTTCCAGCAGATCACCGAAGTCAAGCATCACTGGCTGGCTACGGTCAGTGTGCGGGTGGGTGATCCACTTGGATCTGTCTGCGTAGGTGGGCGGTATTGGTCCTCGTTAAACTGTGCTACCGTAAAGTGCTCGACTTCGCGCGCAGGTCGTCGGGCTACCGAAGCGAGGGTGCCTCCGTAGAGGATCAAAATTGTGATGTCTTCGGATCATCCTCCGGGATGTTTCCCAGACCGTCGCCAATAGCCCGTTGTGCAGCTCTAGTGCGACGTAAATTAACAACAATAACAGCAAGTATTAGTTTAAGTAATTACATGAATTGTACCATGCAAGTTAATAAGCTATCCAGTGAACGCGTAATAAGATATCTCGATGATGTTACTTGTGCTTGAGTAAGTGCATATTACGAGGTATGTGTTCGTCATTTGTGCTTTCTTTTATCTTTGTATTCGTTCAAATCATCTTTGTCCTTGATCCTTAAACCATCTTTGTATTCGTTCATTAAAAGAACCAATCATTAAAATAGAATATAACACTATTAAACCTCTAATGTAGATATTTTAAATTAATGTTGTAACAAACCAATTCCCTGTGGTGCCACCTATGTCCCCACCACCGAGACTCAGTTCAAGTTCGGATATGAAACCCTAAACATGACTTTTCCCCTTTCCCCGAGTTTTCTTAAATTCTAATTCTTTTTACTTTTGTTCAAATGTAATTTATGTTTGTATCTGTGGTTATTAATTAAAATTCTTTATTAAGTGTACTTTTAGTCACTTTTGTTCTAATTTACAATTAATTTGAGCTAGCCGATATTCCTTCACACTACAATGTCATTTAATTATTTCTTTTAGTGCTTAGGATGGACTTGGTACTTATCTACTGACACCCAAGTATTTTTACTGAGTTTATATGTCTGTGCCATTATGAGAAGGTAGGTTGTAATGCTTAGTAAAATTTAAAAAAAAAAATTCAGTTATATTATTATTTTACTCTTTTACTTAACTTTAGAGAAATAGTCTATCTACTATTGTCACTAATTCTTGACAGTTAAGATGCATATTTACCAGATAGAAATTTCTCTCCTAAATTTAATGGTTGCATTTTTTAAAAAAAGGTAGTTTAAGATGGTTACTTTCCCCTCCCCCCCCCATAAAAATGATAGTAAAATATTATTACCACCAGTTTAATATCCTTACCAGACATGCAGAATTATCAAAAGGTAGTTTGAATACTGTTTCCTCCAATTGCCGTGGAAGAATTATTCCCCTGGGAAATGGAAGAAAAAATTATGCATTTTTATTATATTCTTCGTTTAAAGAAATTAATGAAAAAGAAGCTTGATCATAAAAACAATTGAAACTTAGTTTTGAAACTTCATGGCTATATGTTCTTGTCCTTGCTATATTTTTAAATAGTTGTATTTGCTTTAACTCCTTTCCTCTCGCTCTCGTCAAAATCAAGGGGTGGGCTTTTGTCTCCCATATCTCGTGCCCGTGATATTTCCGGCCTAAATCGTTCAAAAGTATTGAATCAAAAACGTTTAAAAATATCTCCATCTCTTGTGCCCGGAATTTTTTTATTTCTTATTTGAATATTCCATATTATAAATGGAGTTTTCCATTTAACATATGGAAAACATCAAAAAACAAAAATAAATGCATATATTAAACATGTACCTTTTTTTGATATATTTTCTTAATAAAAATAAATATGCCTCCTTATGACCGTTTTCTTAAAAACAGTAAAATTGTTCAGGGGTTAATAATATTTGATATAATCGACTACCACTGGAAAATACCTATAGTGCGAATTCTGAAAGCTGTCTGTAAATGTATAGCAGGACTGAAAGCCTATATATACCAAGACAAAAAAGAGCAAAAACTGGTACGAAAGACATTCACCCATGATATAAAGTGCGAGAAAAAGTGACCACCATGAATAAACTTTCGATTTAACGATCAGATTTTCACGTACTAGGATACATAGCTTTAAATATGTAAATTAATTAGAGTTGGTCGATGTTAACTATCGAAATCAGACACAGAACTGTACTGACACAGAACATAACTTTTTTCAGAAAGAGTTGGATTTTTGACTCTCATCACATGGAAAATAGGCTGGAAAATAGGGTCGCAATAGTTTAGACAGGAAAGTAGTTGATCTCTTAATGTTAATCTAATTCTGTACTTTTTTCACAAACGTTTTAAACGAACCGAAAAAAACATTGCGCACATTATAAAATTTGATTACCTAATGGTATTTTTAAAAAAAAAATAATTATTATTTTTTATTTTAATAATAGTCAAAAAAATTTTGAATTTGAAAGTATAGAAATTTTATATGATATTAGCGTATGTGATTTTAATATATTTTGAGCGAAATCGGCTAAAAAGTTTCTAAGTCATTAAATTTTTAAAAAAACTCAAAATTTAATTTCTCAAAAATTATCCTACCGATTCGGTTCACATTTTTTCACTTTAAATTATGTACCTAAATGGTAAGTAACATAAGTATAGTTCGTTCACCAGGAGTTGGCTCTTGGCTCCGCCTTCATCACGTGGCATCCGAACTATTCCACTATTTTTGGGAGAAGGATGTGAACAATCCCGAACAAGGTTGCCATTTGGCGATCGTATGACAAAAATATTTATTTCGCGTTCTTTATGTGCATTTCTTTAGCATTAAATATTTCATAAGTTTGATGATATTTCACTCTTTTGAGTGAATAGTTTGCCCTTTTTGAGACATTTTGCTGCAATATATTTAATTATCTAGAGTAATTAAGGGTATAATAGAAGATGATAAAAAGCGAAGTAAGTGACTGAAAAAGAATTTACTGTTTGCGTTTGGCGCGCATAAAGGGTTGTCTCAATTTCAAACGTGGAAACGTTTCTCCTCTCACTCCCGCCCTGAAATGAACTCTTCGACCGTGGAGGTACAGCCGCCAAGTGCCAACTCCTGGTGAACGGCCTATAGTAATTTAAGTAATACTGCATTTTCTTACTTTACTTACTTAATTTAAAAACAACTAGGCACCTGGGCCACACAGCAGCCCCTATCCGATTCATCATGAAATTACAACAATGAGTTAAAAACATTTTGAATATAAGCAGTCGTTGTGGTAGCTTTACAATAATATTACCATGATTAGAGAAAATACAAACTTGAACAGAGATATTTACAGTAATTGCCATACTGCATTTTCTTAGTTTAAGTGCTCATGCCTTAACAGTTCACAAATCACGGTATGAGCATATTAAAATCTCACGAGAGAACTGGCTAATTATTTTCTTTTTACCATTTTCACTTTAACTGGCTGTCATAGAGTCTAGAGCCCCTGAATTAGACAGGCCGACTTATCATTTATTGTTGGAGCAAAGAGATAACATAGGCACAGCGAATAAATATTTTCAAGTGGTAGTTAATTAATTGTAATTCTTGGTTTAATAAGTTCGATTTGGTAGATTTTAATCCACCACTATTTCTAAACAATGCGTAGGCTTATTTAATTCACCACTTTATAGTTCTTATTACATGCTTTACATTTTAAAAAGCAAGCAAATATTGTCAACTATTTGCAAAATTTTACTTTGTAGTTATTTACCGTTTTTTAAATTATTTTGGCGTGTCCGGAGCAGTTGGCACCTCTGTAATAACATAACTAATACTAACATAACGTTAACTTGCGAACTGGTTTGCTCCAATATTACTTGATAGGTCAGCTCTGATAGTATAGGAGCCTTAATAGAGTCAAATGCATACCTGACAACTTCTATGATCGTTGAAAAAGATTTTACAAGGTGGTAGAAAAACGACAAATAAGTGTGGAAGAATTATCTAAAGAAACTATTAAGACATGTATAAGCGTAAGTAGCCAACAAATGGATCTTATCTACATAAACTAAACTAAACTCAGTGGCGCGACAGCCCATAGAGGGCCAAGGCCTACTGTTTCTTGACCTTGGGCTCTGGGGTGCAGGAGCAGATATTCCGGTTAGGTGGTCAGCCAAACGCAGAAACCCAGTGTTTAGTTCCCAAGCAGGCTTGGTACTCATTTATCGACCCAACCATTTATAACCTTACCCGGCCCGAGGATCGAACCCAGGACCTGTGACACGGGAGCGCGAAGCTCTGCCATCGGGCGTCATCATATCTACATAATTTTCTCAAATTATTGATTCGTCGAGGTAGTTAATTTTTTTTTTCAACTTCAAGATTTAATTCACCAAAACACTAATTTTGCTACCAATAAGAAAATTATTTCTCAACGGACGTCCAAGTTGGCAGCTTTGCAAATGCATGCCTGCCAACTTCTACTCTTTCCTAGAACGGATTTTCCTAAGTGGTAGTAAAACAATTACCAAAAAATAATCTTTCTCAACAATATATTTATATTTTTACCAGGTTGAAATTTCTTTCGTATTGGATGCTGGATATTGGGGTTATCTCGGCGTTTGGCGCGAAGCGCCACTAACCGATTCATCGATTCTGTTTTGTTGTATTCTGGGAGGTCCTATATATCTTTGAAGTTGTAGTATTTCTTTCGTATTGACTATTATGCTTTTATATATTCGTTGTAATTATTTATATGTAGTGGTGGTCAAAATCATTTCCAATTATAATTCAACAAGTTTACGGGATTAAAATTTAACAATAAAAATAGCAGCTTCGCCACCACTTTAAATATGAAAATAAAATCTCCCGCAACAGCGGACGAGTTGGCAGCAATGCCAATGATACAGAGTCAAATAAAATAATTTTTATTTAAAAAAAGAAAAATCTTCTAGAAAAAATATTCCATTTGTATCTTTACTGCGGTGAACGTAAACTTTCTGTGCCTGCTTTTTTGTAATTTTCCGCTATGAAAAGTAGAATTGTTTGTGAAATTTCAGAGCAAATAAATATGTTACAAGAGTGCCACGGGTGACTAAAAACATAAAAAGTGGTAGAAACACAAATAATTTTTTTTATTATCTCTTTAATTTTTCGATCGAAACTATTACTATAACTTATATTTCAAATTATTCATATTTAAACCAACAGCATTCACTTTCATGTAAGTTGAACAAAATTCGCTAGAAAATGTTGTTAATTTTAATATCTTTTAATAAAAGTTAGAAATTTATTACTCACCACTTTTTGCATTCTTAGTCACTCGTGGTATCATAATAAGACAGAGATGCCAACTTGCTCCGGACAGCAAATAAATATTTTCGAGTGGTAGTTTATTAATGTGTGATCCTTGGTCAATAAATTCAATTTATTAGGTTTTTATCTACCACTATTTTTAAATAATTCGAAGGCTTATATAATTCGACACTTTGTTATAGTTAAGTCATGTCACACCGTATAAAAAGTAAGCAAAATTCGTAAATTATTTTTAAATTTTAAGTTGCGGTTGCATACCGTTTTTTAAATTATTATGGCGCGTCCGGAGCAGTTGGCATCTCTGATAAGAATCAATATTGATGTAAACGAAAATTTATTTCTCTGACACAAAAAAAGTGTCGGAGAAATGTTTTATTACCAGTTTTTTATCTTTATAAATTACATGATAATCATTTCATTAAACTCCAGGAGCAATCATGATTTGAACTGCATATGCAGGTATCTCGAGCCGTTACTGCCTCGTACTCCTCCAAATTTCCTCTCCTCATTACTTCCAATGTCATTAGTCCCAGTCGCCCTAGGGCATATCACAGATAAGAGGTCTAGTGCCCGCTTGCGCGGGCAGGTACCTTGCCAAATTACATGATCTAGCTAGTAACCAGGAGCATATTTTAACTTAATGTTAACGCAGCACCTCCCTTCCCATCCACCACATATTATCCAATTTAGATCCATACATGGATAGGTACTCTGAAAAAAATTTATTAGTTAGTTAGTTAGTTAGTAGGAGCAGATCTAGACATAGAAGAAATTAACTGCTTCATTGCCAAACGCAACAGCAAATTCTATAGTGACGCTTGAAACTGTACGGCCTCGAATTTCAATCATTTGCTAGACATCAGCTTAATAGACGACAACATTAAATATAGCCCAGTAACTGCATTCCTCATGTCTGATTGTATCATATCAAAATATTACAAATGATAGTACCGCTGTTTTTAAACTCTTATATACTATTGACCCTGGGGATCTCCCCCGTTAATTTTGTACCAGTATAAGCTTATTCCTTCATGACTTTTGAGCATAGAACAAACCAGTATAAAATGAATCGGTTGGTGGAGCTACCCTACATATCCAGCATGCAGGAGCAGAGAGGGCCGGAAGGCCTCAGACACCCAGTTCCACTACAACGAACGAACCAGGAGCAGGGACGCCAACTGTTCCACTTCAAATTTTTTTTATTAATTTGTAGCATGTTAGTTTAGTAGTAAATCTTGTAAAGTTTACGCCTATTCTTTAACAGGGTCAACACGAGATCACTTTCATAAAAGTTGCATTTAATATGGTAGTACTCTGAATTTTCGATATGTAGTGGCGGAAAGAAAACTAAATATAACTTAAATTTCGTTACCACTAGATAATATTTTTTTGCAAAACAGAGCAAGTTGGCATCTCTGTAGAGGTATAAGGGTAAGAAACCATACACTTGCTGTTAGTTTTAAAAATCATACATCAATAAACGCTATTGGTTCATATTTTTATCTATGGATATCTCAAACTCATTTAGTAAATAGACTAAAAATGATACACAGCTCTTTATTCAAGGTAATGAAGTACAGGGGTTGGACAAAATTATAAAAACACTTCTATACAATCTTCCCTAGGCACGAAATGTTTACGCAGATCTTGTCTGGAAACTTTATCAGAGTTCCTAGCCCGTTGGGCTATCTACTCTTTCATCGAAAAAGGATTTAACATTAGGGAAGTGAGGGGGTAAGATAAATACGCAAGCGAAGGATAAATGCGAAGGAAGATAAATACGCAAGCGTACATATGATGAATAATAAATTGTCTAAGTCAATTGATATAATACAAGAGAAAAGGCGTAAAAATAAACGCAATCTGGGTTAAATACGAAAAATACACGATAAAAAAAACATTGAAGATAATAGAAACACGTTGAGAATAATAAAATGTTTTCAATTAAAGAAGTTATGTACATCGAATATGTGCTGATGCTCGAAAACGAAGGGATGCTGAAGAACAAGGGTTTACTCTTGAATCTTTGAATCACTCCCTCGCCTCCCCCTACCCGAAGGGCTTCTCAGGTGCAGAGTGATGCAGTTCTTGAGTAATTAAGTGTGGTTAACTTTAGTTAAAATATTTAAATAATATTACGTCACTAATAAAAAATACGGTGGCGGGGCTAAATTTCGCGTTATCATTTATAAGTTGGAAGTCGAAAATATTGTTAAAGTTGCACGTAGTACATTTTGTAGCATATTTAATAAAGGATGTGTTTAGTAGTTGAAGACAATTTTCTAATTGATCAATTTTTAAGTCTTGGTGAATAGTTTTGTCGCTAGCGTGCCAAGGCGCACCTGTTATATATCTAAGGATTTTATTCTGGAAGGTGTTGAGTTTTTCAGTCTGAGTTTTTGTAAGAGTCCCCCATACTGGGGAGGCTTACGTTAATATGGGTCTGATGCTGTCTGATCTGATGCCGAAATCTGTATTGCTCATTGGGCAAGAAGCATAAAAAGGGGAGGATCCTATTGAGTAGGATTTCCCCCCAATATTTTTGAAAGTGTATTGAGTAAACTTATAGGTCTATAATTTTCAGGTTGTGAATGATTTTTCCCTGGTTTGGGAAATAAGATAACTGCAGCATTTTCCCAGGAGTTAGGAAAATAATTATTAACAATGCATGCATTGAGAATATTAGTAACTTGTTTAATTTGTTTCGTGGGAGATTTTTAAACATGGTATTTGTGATACAGTCTTGCCCTGAGACTTTCTTGTTTTTCAGATTTTTAATAATTTTCTTGATTTCATCTTCGTCAGTTATGTTTGTAATATTGAGAAAGTTATTATTTTTTTTATGTAATTTTGATAATTATTATTAATTTCTTTTTCTGATGTAATATCTCTTGGTTGGGCATTGGGTGTGAATTGTTCTTCTATAACGTTTGCAAAAATTTGTGCTTTATCTCTGTCTGAGTACGGTTTTCCATTATTTGAATTAAGAGGCATTATTTGTTGTTGTTGTTGTTGACTTATTCCTCTTGGTCAGCCGCAGGCTAGACCAAGTCAATGAGCTCGAAAGTCTTCAGGAAATCAAATACAAGTAAGGGACCAGAGTAGAGGTCTTTGTGGTTTTTTGTGGTTTGTGGTTTTTTGGGATTTCAGTGATTTTACCATCTTCCATGCAGAATTATCGTGGATTTCTAGGCTTCTTACTTTATCTTCCCAGATGTCTTGCCTGTATTCTAAAAATTGTTTTTGGATAATTTTTTGTCTTCTGTTAATTTCCGTTTTTATTAGAGGATCTGGATTTTTTTGGTAATTTTTTCTCATTTTATTTTTAATTCTGATATTTTCTTTTACTTATTGACTTTTATTTTTCGTTATTTATAAAATAATTTTTATAAATGCTACAAACTTATATTATACGTTTTATTAAACCACCAATTTTATTCAAACGCACTTCAAGGAAGCTGAAGTTATTAACGAATGGAAACCTAAATTAAAAGTGGTTAAAAAGTTCACCATGGGCTTTAAAAATTGGTGGAAAGTATACTTACCACGGCATTCGAAAGGGTTAAGCTAAGTAATCCAGTTATTTAGTGATTACATAGAGATTGTCTACATAGAGTCAGTATAGAAGTGTTTCCATACTTTTGTCCAACCCCTGAAGTTTTTACTCCTATGTTATGTTAAAGTTAAAAAAAAAAGAATATGATTATTTTTTTTTATCAATTATTGTAGAAGGCTGGAAAGAGGATTCTTATTAGCTGGATTGGTAGTAGTTATGGGTGTTTTGCTATCAGCATGTTCTCATCTGTATTACAAGCTTCCTCCTACTTACCTACTTTCGTATTTGCATTTCGAGTAAGTCATTTAGTGTTAAATTTCTGAAAGATTTAACTTTATAGGTTTCTCATCTATATTACAAACTTCCTCCAACTTACCTTCTTTCCTATTTGCATTTCGAGTCAGTCTAGTTAGTGTTAAATTTCAGAAATATTTAGTTTTTTTATAACAAACCTTGTTACAAAAATAATTAAATTTTATTACTATATGATAAAATTAAAGGAAATTAATATTTTTTGCAACGCTTAGATAGCTTATCTGCAAGATTCTGAGTGTGTTTACGTAGGAAAACAAGAAAATTGCTTAAAAATATCCGTTTTATGCGATAAAAATAATAATTTAATGTATTACTATTCCAGAAAAAAACAAAATGGTCACAAATTAACCATTTCATAGAGCTGTCCAGTTTAATATGTTATTGACTTAAACGTGCCCACTTTTTGATCAAGTCCAAGGCAAAGAACCAATCAAATTTGTATTTAAATTCAATACGAAGTATTTAAATTCAATTTGTAATTAAATTCAATACGAATTTGTATTTAAATTCGATACATTCTTCCTGCAGTTATCTATCACGCTTGAATTTCATATTACAGAGTTTGGTAACAGAGTTAAGGGTATAAATTTTTAAATCATCGTAAGTAATATTTTATATAATTTTGTCTTCAATATTCCTGTCATTTCTTTTATTATTTTTGTGCATTTTGTTTCAAACTTTTCGTGTTGTTTTTACTTGGTAAAATTATGTTAGCTGAAAAAGTTGGTGTTTTTGGTGCTCTTTACAGTTGCGTATTTTGGTTTGGAAAATATCGATACAACATTAGAATCGATAAAATATCGATACAACCTTTTTGCTGATAAAACTGAATGCGAGTAGAGAAAAAGATTGCTCGTTTTTGTAGTTAATTTACCTTAGTTTCAAGTAATTAATTTATAATTGTTTGATCATTTATTTTTTTTCCCAATAAATTTTACTTATTAATTTTTAATTTATTGTTTTTTCTTTTAAACTATCTTTCATTAATTCATATTTATATACAGAGATGTCAACTGCTCCGGATTCTGCAAAATATTTTAAAAAGAACTGTTAACTAAATTAAAAGAACCGTTAACCCCTTGGGGACGGTTGATTCAGAAAAGCATTCGTACAAAATCAGAATCAAGTTGTAATTAAATAAAAAACGGTAACTTAAAAGTAGTCGTTGCTAATTTGACAGACTTACTTTGCTTTTACTTTAATTATTGTTAGTTTAATCATATATATAATCAATGTTAATTCAAAGTATAACTAAATAGTTTTATTTTGAACAAAGTAATGGTGAATTAAATAAATCAAACAATTATAACTCCGCCCACAAATAAACTGCTAAAGAATTACTTTGATTACCAGTTTTATCTTTTTACCCTGATTCATACAGTTTTATGGTGGCACATATTTGTGACAGTCGGCCCGAAAGGGTTAACTAAAAAATGCCGAGTTCAGGTAAATGTTGAAAACTTTTACGCGAATCAACACGAAATTACTGTAACAAAACAACCTTTGAATTACCTGAAGTGGTGGTGTGTAAACTCTTCAAAAATGAAATTTACAACTCACTAAACCAATAATCTTATATTTAAGCATAAACCTTCATACCACTAAAAACTATTGATCCAGAATCGGAAGAAAGTTGGCATCTCACTCCCTGTGTATATAGATACAGTCAATTCGCTATAACTCGAAGAACGATAACTCGAATATTACTATAACTCGATTTTTTTATGAGGTCCCGACCCGTTTATCTTCAATTTCATGTTAATTATTCTCGATTACTCGAATTTTACTCCCTTTAACTCGATTTTTTTTTGATCTTTTAAAGCAAGAAAAAAAACCTAGGAGCTGATATCTTGCCCCTTCCTTTGCAACACACACACAATGTCTTTCGCACTCTTCATGGAGAAGCTAAAGCTGTCCCTCTTGAAGTATGTGAACAGTGGTTAAATGAAACGTTACCAAATTTACTTCAAGGATACAGTTAAAATGATGTTTTCAATATTGATGAAATGGGTTTATTTTTTAAATGTCTTCCAAATAAGACTATGATGTTTAAGGATGAAAACTGCTCAGGGGGTAAAATGAGCAAGGAACGTTTGACTGTCCTAGTTGGAGGAAATGCGTCTGGGACAGAGAAATTGCCCTTACTTGTTATCGGAAAATACCGAAATCCCCGATGTTTCAAGAATGTAAAAACGTATCCTTTGGATTACAAGTCTAACAAAAAGTTTTGGATGACATCAGTTTTATTTGAAGACTATGTAAGAAAATTGGATCGGAAATTCTTCGCTAAAAAAAGAAAAGTGATACTCTTTATGGATAAATGCACAGCGCATAGTGATCTACCTAATTTGAAAGCAGTAAACTTGCAGTTTCTCCCGCCAAACACAACAGCAAAGTTGCAGCCGATGGACCACGGTATCATAAAGTGCTTCAAACAGTCTTATCGTAAATGACTTGTCAGAAAAATGATCGTAAATATTGTAAGCATTTAGAAAGTTTGTAATTAATAAGCATTAATTAAATAATCCGACAATATTTTGAAAGTCCAAAACCGAAACTAACGGTAAATCGGACTTCCGATATGTCGAAGTTTTTCCTCAGTACTATCAGATTCGAGTTATCGCGAATTCACTGTATATACAGGGACAGCCGGAAAAGCAAAATAAGGAAAAGATATATAATCTCGCCGTCAGCTCACATGATTATATTCGTAAAAAAGTGATTTCTATTATTGTATTAATATAGCTAAACCCAAATATATCAGTACAACAATGTGAGGTTATTTATTCTTAAATTTTAGAATATTTTTTAAAAATATTTCATTTATTAAGATTTTTCTCTTTAAAAGTATTCGTATTTTTTTCCTTGTCTTTCTGTATTTTAAAATTAGACACTTTCTCTAGCTAAATTTTTTCAGTTTACTATCGGAAATGAATGAAAGAATCTTTTTTCATATAACTATGACTATTTTGCAATTTAAATCGATATGGTAATTACTACTGAATAATTAAAGAGACTATAAATAAATAAAAATGAATTTAGTTTCTACAACTTCTTGCATTTTTAGTTTCCAGTCACAACCCTGTACATATGATCGGTTCAGTGCTATACATGACGGAACTTTCGGCAATGACAGAAAAAAAGGAATGTAAGAAATGTAAGTTTAATTTTAAGCAAACTACGTAGAATGAAAGAGATGTAGGAGAAAATATATGCAATCTACAAAGAATGAAAGAGATTTAGCAGAAATTATAAGTAAACTACAAAGAATGAAAGAAATGTAGCAGAAATTGTAAACAAACTACAAAGAATGAGAAAGATGTAGGTGAAGATATAACCAAACAACAGGGAAGGAAAGAAATGTTGGAGAAATTATAAGCAAACTACAAAAGAATGAAAGAGACGCAGATGAAATTATAAGCAAACTACAAAGAATGTAAGAGATGTAGGAGAAATTTTTTAAGCAATCTACAAAAAGAAAAAAAGGCGAGGTTTAAACATAAACAAGTGGAAGAACAAGATCAAATGATATAACCGATTGCGGCTGGGAGATAAGAATTAAATGTGGTATAGGATGAGATGGAGAACAGCGTGTGTTGAGTGTGTATAAAGCACAACAACGTGAATCGAGCACAAATATGTTCAGAAACGGGCATAGTTTTGGTTTTATAAACAAGAACTTTCTTCAGTGTCTAAACACAAAATGCGTTATTGTTAAAATACTTACACTTACATTGCACACTTAGGATGGTTTATGTTCATAGAACCAAAACTATGGTATGTTCATTTCGGTAACCTTATTTGTGCTTTATTCACGTCGTTTCGCTTTAACTAAACACAGCACAAAATATACCTTACTTCGATTTGGATATAGTGTGAGATCAAAATGTTACAAGAGTCCATAATTTAGAGTTCAATCCTAATCACACTTTTTCTCTTTACCTTCCAATTTTTTTTATTATCTTCTTTATCTGTCAATGCTCTTATTTTTCTCCTTGCTGTAACTTAATTGTAATTATTCCTGTGTTTCTATATTACAACACTGAAGAATGAAAATACTGGTACGTTGCATTGGATTAACGTTGCAAGCCGACCGGACTGTGTAGGGGGCAGGGAACTGTCCTTGCATCAGAAAGGTTCTGGGTTCGATTCCCGGGCAAGGCATGGATGTTCTTTCCTTCTCTGTACTATCTGTGCTCACTGTGGGAGCGATGTTGGCTAACCTAATACGGCGCCCCTGAAAGAGAGGTCAACAAAATCGCCCTGTAAATGCCAGAATTAACGGATGTTAACACAGGTGGGCATTGGAAAAAAAAAAATTACGTTGCACTAAAACTACACAGTGGGCTGTTGGCAACGGTCTGGGAAACATCCCTGAGGATGATTTAGAGACATATACATACTTCACCACCCTGTTTTACAGGGAGGAAGCATTCTCGCACCATCCATCCGCAGATTGCAATTTTGACCTGTACTAGAGCACGATCAATCTCCGATCTAGTACCTTCAGAGGTTCTGATTTGTTACGGGAACGTGGTAAACTTTGTGACCCCGACAGATTTAGAGTGCTCCTATCACCATTTGTCTTCATCAACCGGATCTCTGAATATGTAACATGTTTTACGGTCGAAGCATTTTTTTCCAATTTTTAAATACAGTTTTTTTTACAGTGATTGGTTTTTTTATGCTGTCAATGGATACACACAAGCTCATTTTCACATTCCTGTTAGTGCTGTTGGATTAATTGTTGGTTACATCTTGGCGACAAAAAGAGGCCATATACCAAAAGTATTTTCTTGCTTATTTTACAATTTTTTTCAGTGAATCAAAAACATTTTGCTTTCATTCTCGACTGTTTTCTCGTTTTAGTAGAGAAAATTTGTAAATGAATATAAGAGAAAAAAAATCATATCAACAATTTTTAGACCAATCTCTTAAGTTCTCTTGAATCACTATTTAAACTTTAAAGAACACTAAGTATGAAATTTTTCAAGGTATTTTTTCTTTTTAAATAAATTATAATTTAATTCTCGCTAAGTATATTAGTTATCGCAAAATGTAAAGTATTTCGCCTCTATAGCTATTGCAAAATTAACCCTTTTTAACGCCGTGGTAAGTATACTTACCACCATGTTTTACCACTTTTAATTTAGGTTTCCATTTTTCAATAACTTCAACTTTTTTGAAGTGAGTTTGAATAAAATTGGTAACCATTTGTCACTTTCAAAAAACGTCTTAAAGTTATAAAATACATAATTGATTTTGAAGTTTGTAGCATTTAAGGAATTTATTTTATAAATAAAGAAAAATAAAAGTCAGTAAGTTCCTAATAAGTCATGCTAAATATATTTACCACCAAAAAAATGGCATTTTTATAAACTAAATTATTTTTTTTTTATATATCAGTTACTGTTCTTACAACAATTTCAATTCCAAAAATACTGTAATTTACCTTTACTAGAAATAAAGGGCCCATTAAAGGGTTAAAATATACTCAATAAATTCAATAATACTTATTTCACTTCTTAGTTAAAGGTAAGGGTAAAATTACTTTACCTGTATTTTTTTTATGACGCTTCTTCAGGTTTCTATTTCTCGAGGAGAAGACGGACCGCTTTTCTTTCGCTTCAAAAGATCGCTACTCTTGAAAAAAAGATATCATTATTAAAAATAAACAAGGTCTACCATTGAAGAAATTAACTCCAGTCCATTTTTTTAAAAACATTTAATATTTAAACAAAAATGTAACAGACAAGATTAAACGAAACATTAATATTTTGAAAATGAACAGAACATTTCAACCTCTTCACTCGGAGAAGATCATTCAACTTCTGCCTTTTTACGAAGCTGCGGTTACGTCACAGTTAGGGTTAAATTTTAAAGTTAGATAGTTCCTCGGAGTTTCACGACAGCTATGCTTAAATTTGTTTCACAGTTCTTCAAACTTTCATGCATGTAGAGTATAATGGAACAAAACTAATAAACAGAGACGTATGATTGCAGTGCGTTAACACTTAATGTTTAAAAAACCACGAATTGAATTTATTGGTGTTTCTTCCTTTAAATACTCGTTTGAACAGTACAACCTTTTACTTACTTTATTTAAAAACAACTGGGCACCTGGGCCACACAGCAGCCCCTATCCCATTCATCATGAAATTACAACAATGAGTTAAAAACATTTTGAATATAAGCAGTCATTGTGGTAGCTCTACAATAATATTACCATGATTAGAGAAAATACAAACTTAAACAGAGATATTTACAGTAATTGTCATGAAAATATGTACAGAAAATATAACCTTGATTAGAAAAAATTACAACTTGAACAGAGATATTTACATTAATTACCATAAATATGTACAGAAAATTGAATATGAGCATTAATAAATGAAGATAATATATATACAAAAGTCGTGATTCAAGGACGTGAAGAATTTACATAAATTTTGACAAGCCTTAGTGGCGCCATCTAGTATGATCAACTTTAATTTGAAAGGGCAGTATGCAGTATTTATTTTAATAATCTGTATGGAAAATTAGAGTTCTGAATAATAATAAGAGTTCAAATAAAAGTTCAAATCAAGTAAAATAAAGATGTTACTGTGCAAGAGTGGCTTCCCCCATAATCCTCTGAAGCAGTTGAAGCACTTCTTGATTTTTTAAAAGTTCTTGCAATTCTTTAATTATTGTAACCAGCCTTTGAGCAAGTCCTATTGTTGTTGGTGGTATGGCATGTGTTCCCCTCCTGCGGGGACGGGCTCTGCACCCCGTGTAGTTGGCTGCATGAGAGTCTCCGCAGTTGCTGCACTTAGGTGGTGTATTTTTATCTTTTTGGCACTCGTATGATCGGTGTTTGGCGGCGCACTTAACGCATCTTGATGGTGAATTACATTATCTTTGACTGTGGCCAAATTCTTGGCAGTTGTAACACTGGATTGAATTTTGCCCGCCTCGGAACCTTTCAATACTGACCGGGATACTTAGTATATTGGTGAGAGAGAAAATTTGTCGATTAACATCTGTTTCTGTGAGAATTGTGAGAAAAAGTCGGAGGAGCTTGTAGGTCCCGGCCACTTTTCTCTTAAACTGAATTATCTTTTGCGTTATGATGTCTGACTTCACCTGTTCCTGGGAGATATGATCAGTATAGAATCCAACTGGAGGACCACGAATAAGAACTTTTATATGCTTAATTGGTTGAACTTTTGCTGGAGTTGTGGGTGGATCTACAGTTGAACTGGAATCCTCCTTGGGTGGAGCTAAGTCAGTATCAGATATAGATTCAGATGGTTGTAAGGAGGTGGCGGTATCTAGTGGTGAAAAATGTTTACTATTTGTCGTCATGATTAGATTTGCTTCAGCTTTTTTGGCATTATTTTTCTTCTTCTTTTTCATCTTTTTCAAAGGGGGTTCTGCAATATTTTTGGTTGAGCTTTCTGAATCTATGGTTGATAGCCTTCCCCATCTGTTCCAAAAGTTGGCCGCCTTCATAAGTTTCCATATCAAGGACATCAATTGGTGTTGTCGGTATTTCAGGCTTACTTGGCTCAGACATGGGAGGAATTATTTTGCCTGCTGCCTCAATCATTTCATTCGCTATCCTTTCGTCTTCTTTCATTTTCGTTTGACCTTCTTCCACTTTCCGTTTAATTTCTTCCATTTTCCTATTCAAGTCTGGAAACTTTGCCCAGATTGTCTGTTTGGCTTCGGCATCGTTGGTGGCAGTATCGGTGCATTCCTCATATTTCTTTGAATCACGTCCTGATCTTTCAGTGAGCAGCTTTCCGCCACGTCCGTGATGGTGATAGGTAGCTATATTGCGTGATTTGATTTATTAACTTGACAGTGATGAAACATAAATTGATGACTACTAGTGGCAGAATACTTTAAAACTTAACTTGCTACACACACAAACTCTTAAAACATATCAACTTTAGAAGAAACTAACATAATTGCAAGAGTATGAAATACGTACGACTCACTCGAAAGACACGACTAAAAATCCCACTCAGTCAAAATGGTCATGACCGAACAGTACAATCAATTTTTATGATTGTATTATGATGAAAAGTCAACGTATTTTAAAGTTGTATGAAAGAAACAGTTAAATTTACCTTTTTTCAGAATTTATAAGTCGATATACAAAGGAAAAAGTTTTGATTTAAACTAATAAATAAACAATTTTTCCTTTTAACACTTTTATTGCATTACAGAAAAGAGGGGTAAAATTTAAGATTATTAGAGAGGGCTATGATTTCCCCTAACTTTAATGTTAACACTAGTTGAGCTTCACTGAGCATGTGCAAAAATTTCTTTTCGAATCATCTTGTCTTCTAATGCGCAAAAAAGTTACTGTGTAAAGTAACCAACGGCAAATGCTATGCAAAAGCTCTCTATTTTCATCTCACTTAACACGTTCAAGCCGGGGTGACCCACCGGTGGGACACGCTAGATTGTCTCATCTTGGCAGCACACCGGTGTAAAAACTGGTAACAAAAAAATTTCATTTTTTAGTTTTTTTCCAGGAATAATAAAAATCCATGCTACCAATTGTTTTTAACGGATGCAATTTTTATATTGAATTGCTTCTTCACTGTGATAAATTTTCAGCTACAGAGGACGCCGAGACTACACCCAGTCCCACAGGTGCCAGCAATTCAATCATGTGCAGGCATCCTGTCGGCACACACCAAAATGCCTTAAATGTGGACAGGAACATCTAACTTATCTATGCACGAAAACACGAGAAACAGCAGCGTCCTGCGCCAACTGCGGCGGACCACATCCAGCCAACTAGAAACAGTGTTCCAAACATCCGATCAACCAAACATCCCGACGTAAGAATAATCCACCTATATTTTCTCCAAGCAACAACCAGTTTACCACATATGCAGACAAGCTAAAAACAAGCAATTAAACAGTCAACACAGACGTAATCAGAGAAGCAAGATCAATATTAGCAGAACTAAAGTCCTTTGTAGACCTTGTGCAGAACGACGGGGGAATGAAACTATTCAAGGCATTTCTAACACATTCATCAAAAATCATCGACAGACATCAAGAAGAAGAAGAAGACATAGAACAAGATGAGTATTAAAACAACAACCAAACCATCCCTCAACCTCATAATATGGAATGCCAACGGAATCATTAATAAACAGCACGAATTCAAAAACTTCATCATCGACTTCAACCCAGACATCATTATAATAACTGAAACACACCTAATGCCAACATTCAACCTTACAATAGCTAACTACAGAGTGCATAGATGCGACAGAAACTATAGAGGAGGAGGAGTAGCGTTACTAGCAAAAAATAGTCTAATAACCACCACCTTTAACCAAACCTCAGATAGAGGATATGAGCAAATATCTATACTATTGTGTTGTTATAGTATTAGTTATCTAGCCATTTTAGAAATTGTCATTACTTGAAATTTGTACTAGGGTGATCGCATATATATTTTAAATAAAGAAGGAAAGAGTTCAAAGGTTACCTGACCCTTCGTACAAGAAGGATCTCCAGGTTCTTCTGGTCATCGGAGCTGAAATTCAAGATGATATGAAATAGGAAACTGACGCAGCTTTTTGAAACAAATTAAACTTCTTTATTTCTTCGATTTCATGGTTCCATGAATATTGTTGACTCCACTGAAACTTCTTTCATCAATCCGAGAAAACTCGTCAAACCTTGGCGATCGCTACCACGTGTCTAATCTGGTAATGCAGTCGTCATTTGGGTTAAATCACATTCCCAAAATAAACATTTGATGGACTTCTAAACCAAGTCTACATTAATCTCTTTCTCTTATTCTGAATCACTCATTTTCTTTCCGTCTAAAGGTAAGCTCATAAGAGCTAAAAAAGGTTTTTAAGAGATCTCGTTCACATACAATCTCATCATTATTCTCCCAACTGACGCCAAGGAGGGACGCTGGCCAGAGCAAAGCACAACTCGGTTAAAGTTAGATGGGAAAACATCGATATAAAAAATCAATACTAAATTCGATGGGCTATCGCAGCTAAGCGCAATTAAAAGGTAGAATCATACTGCAGATGTGATGTAGCAACATCACACTATCCCCCTTAGGAAGAGAAAAAAAACATACCTGACTGATTAAAATTTAAAATGAGCGACAAAAACTCTTAAACCAATGCAAAGAAGGACAGCCGGAGGAGTCAGCAACATCCCTTGAACCTGCCAAAACAAAAATACAAAAGACAGTATTGTTGACAAAACAGAACATAGTAACAAAATATCAAACACAAATGAATGTGTAGTTCTTGGATATACACACAAACCCGATTATCATATCACATGCAAATTATCACATTAAAAGATAAAATCACAAAAATTAATTTTCAAAAATTAATTGTCAAATCCATATTTACGAATATCTGTTACTCAACCTACCTAAAATAAGCATGTACATCTCAGCTTTTGTGTGTGTGTGTGGTGTTACATAAAACTGTAGAAAGCTGCATAAAACTACTTGTTCATTTCATTCATTCAACCAAAAGCAAAACACTATCCTAATATGCTTATTCTACTTTTTATTTTAAGTTTAAGTAACAGAATGCTGTACATCAAATAACATATTTACATATATACAAAAGGAAAAAGAAAATGTGCATGCATATCAACACATCATGCTTATCACATTTTGTAACATATATCATGTTAGAAAAAATTTAGTTGTAATAGTAACATATTGTACACTTGAAATTTTGGGTGGTGGACTGTTTACCTACTCGAACCAAACATTTATATATTAAATTTTTAAACAGTTTGTAAGTATACATAAATACAACTTAAAAGATATTATCACAAGTTCAACATACCAAACTGAATTGAAATGAGAAAAAAACTCAAAAATATGATACTATTCTGATACATTTAGAAAAAGGTATAAATATTTAAAACTTAAATTGAACAACAATTTAAAGGAAAGTACAATTACTTAAAATTTACATTACATAATAATTTAAAGATTAGGTCTAGTGAACATTAACTTAACCATAAAATAAACACTACAAAAGCTTTTCAACTGGAGAAACCGATCGTATTTTCTCCAACAAAAAACTACTCAATCAGAAGAAAGTATGCCAGCATATTTTCCCTAGAATGAGGCAGTAAAAATTTGGCAGGTAAAGCTGAGTCAAGAGAACCAATTACTTTTGTCTAGATCTTAAAGAGTAATGATAAGGAGCAGTGCTTATAGCAGGTTTTTGATCTGATACAACTAAATGAGGAAGTCTTGGTAAACAAGTCCTCAAACGGCTAATATTAACTTTAAAAGTATCTTGCAATGGGGAATCAAATCTTTTAATTGAGACATTGATGTCATTATGAATTTCAGTTATAATAAATGGGCCTAAAAATTTTGGCTTAAAAGTACTTCCAGAATGTAAGTACACAATATCTTTAACATTAAATATCCTATGCTTTGCTTTCTTAAGTTGAATCTCATTTTGCTTTTGTTGTTGTTTTTCTAAATTATCATAAGTTTGTTTATATACAATATTCAAATCATCTAAAAGATTTTTGACATATTGGGTCTTATCTAATTGCTGTGGTTGAATTTTAGGGTCAAGGGTATAAAAAATTAAGCTTAATTCTCGTCCAAAATGCAAAAGATTAGGAGTAAAATTGCTGGATGGATGCACAATACCATTATACAAATTTTGATGAATTAATATCGAATTTTTAAATGATACACCTGCTTCGTTTAAGGTAATTAAAGATGTTTTAATAGACTGATTAATTCTTTCAGTCGCCCCATTACATTTTGGATTTTTGGGAGTAGTATGGGCTAAATGAATACCAAGTGCTTTATTTACACAATGTAAAACTTCACAGTTGAACTGTGCTCCTAAATCTGATAACACCATAGCAGGTCTACCATTGTTGGCAATATAATCAATTAAATGTTGAGAGACACTCTCATCTGTTAAACTGTTCAATGGGTATAATTTTAACTATCAAAAGTGTGCAAAGAAGCAAAAAGTGTGCAAATTTAAATTGGAATTAATAGTCTTAATCTGCACATTAGAAGACAGAAGTCTAGTTTTAGTATTACATTTTATGATATCATAAGTTGTTTTAGACATTAAGCAAATACTGGAACCACTATCGAGTAAGCATTTTATAATATTATTACCAAATTTAACATGAATCAAAGGAATATTGTTATTGTTAAATGCATTATTAGAGAATGCAATATTTATATCATGTTCATCATTAGAAACATATGAAAACAGTCCATTTTTATGCATAACAGTATCATTGCCATTGATATGCACTGATTTGTTTACATTAGAATAAACAGTCTGACTATCAGACTTACTCAACATATTATCACATATATTATCATCATTACATTTGTTATTTGGTAGAAAAATACATTGTTGAGAGGAAACATGTCCACCACCATATTCCCTCACATTTAGTTTAACGATTTTGGTGTTGTTTCACCATTATTAAAATTTGGGGCATATTGATTAAATTGTGGAGGTCCAAAAGGATTTAAATTAGGTTGATAATTATCATGATTCCAAGGTATAAAATTTTGAGTAGGATTGAATTGATTAACATTGGGATTAGGATTAGAAAAACTAGTTTGATTGTGAAAATTTTGCCTCGGCATAAAATTTCTATCTCTGAAATTATTGTGAGAAGAAGTAAGTTGGGGCATAGATTGCATTTGGTCGTTAATAAATTTTCTACACATGTTTTGCTTATGACCAGGTTTCTTACAATAAAAACAAATTATCCTTTTGCCTTTAAATGTATTATTCATTCTGGCAAAATTTACAGTTTCAGAGCCTCCATGTTTAATTATATCACGAAATTTTGTACACTCTGCCAGTGAGTGGGAATCATTGCAGTATGAGCAGTTTTGAAGCAAATTTATTTTATTATTAAGAGAGTCTATCTGATTTTGTATATGTACTAGATCTTTGTTAACAGGGACTGAACTTAAAATATTATGGGCCTCGGCTTGTAAAATAGTTTGCTGGGCAGTTGATATACTATGGGCTTTATCAATTAAATCTTTAAAGTTATCTGTCTTTTCAAGCATTAGTTTTTCTTTCAAATTCAGAGGCANATCTGATATTGTGAAATTTCATTAATTAAAACAGGTATTCGAGGTAAAGGATAAGTTGATGCCTCAACGATTGAATTAAGTAAGCGAAGGTCCATGGAAAGTCTAAATTTTACAGGGGCATTTGGATTTTTAGGGTCTGGGCGCTTCTTTATTAAAATTAGAGGACAACTCCAATCGCTTATATTTCTTTTTATTATGCCAGCCTCTTGTAATTCCAACAATTCCTGTTTAACCTGGCCCTGTATGGCATAAAGGATTTGAAATGGTTGTGTTTTTATTGGATTATTAGACCTGAAAGAAATTTTAGGGATGACATGGTCAGTATGACCCAAGGTTTTAACCGATTTAGAAAAAGCAGTAGAGTGGGACATTAAAACAGTAAGTAATTTTTGTTTGTTATTAGGATTCAAATGAGAGAGATCAAAATCATTTTCAATAAGTTGTTCTTTTCTTAATGTTAAAATATCAGATGAAGGAGTAATTAAATTTACATAATCAGTTAAATTTTCCTCAGTAAGTTCTTGAACATTTTGTTCAGAATATTCCTCTAATTCAGGGTTAAACTGAATTTTTCCTATGCAAGTATTTTTGTTTATATGCAAAGTGACATCAGAATTATTTTTAATTACTGTGGTAAAATTAGCACTATCAAAAGTGTGCAAAGAAGCAAAAATTTCAATTTCAGGTTTCTTAGTTAGGGGTTCAAACAGAAACATATCACCTTGTTTACAATTATTATTCTTAATAATAAGATTAATTTGAGTAGACTCATTGGGTTCCAATATTACTTTCTGTCTAAGAAAACAATTACTTTCAAAATGCATAATATTATTACAATTAACAACATCTTTAGAAATTAAAGGTACTTTAAAATTTTGAAATTCAGCAACATTATCTGACGGACAAATTTTTACATTATTTTTACTCAAAAAATCATAACCAATTATTGCTTGAAAGGCATCGTGTTGAAAGTGTGATATATAAAATGGAGATTTGAAATTATTTTTCTCAATTTTAAATGAGATTTCTGAACAAAATAAAGAATTTAAATTGGAATTAATAGTCTTAATCTGCACATTAGAAGATAGAAGTCTAGTTTTAGTATTACATTTTATATTATTAGATCTGAAAGAAATTTTAGGGACGACATGGTCAGTATGACCCAAGGTTTTAACCGATTTAGAAAAAGCAGTAGAGTGGGACATTAAAACAGCAAGTAATTTTTGTTTGTTATTAGTAGGATTCAAATGAGAGAGATCAAAATCATTTTCAATAAGTTGTTCTCTTCTTAATGTTAAAATATCAGATGAAGGAGTAATTAAATTTACATAATCAGTTAAATTTTCCTCAGTAAGTTCTTGAACATTTTGTACTGAATGTTCCTCTAATTCAGGGTTAAACTGAATATTTCCTATACAAGTATTTTTGTTTATATGCAAAGTGACATCAGAATTATTTTTAATTACTGTGGTAAAATTAGCACTATCAAAAGTGTGCAAAGAAGCAAAAATTTCAATTTCAGGTTTCTTAATTAGGGGTTCAAACAGAAAAATATCACCTTGTTTACAATTATCATTCTTAATAATAAGATTAATTTGAGTAGACTCATAGGGTTCCAATACTACTTTCTGTCCAAGAAAACAATTACTTTCAAAATGCATAATATTATTACAATTAACAACATCTTTAGAAATTAAAGGTACATTAAAATTTTGAAATTCAGCAACATTATCTGACGGACAAATTTTTACATTATTTTTACTCAAAAAATCATAACCAATTATTGCTTGAAAAGCATCGTGTTGAAAGTGTGATATATAAAATGGAGATTTGAAATTATTTTTGTCAATTTTAAATAAGATTTCTGAAAAAAATAAAAAATTTAAATTGGAATTAATAGTCTTAATCTGCACATTAGAAGACAGAAGTCTAGTTTTAGTATTACATTTTATGATATCATAAGTTGTTTTTGACATTAAGCAAATACTGGAACCACTATCAAGCAAGCATTTTACAACATTGTTACCAAATTTAACATGAATCAATGGAATATTATTACTATTAAAGGCATTATTCGAGTAAGCAATATTTAAATTATGTTCATCATAAGACATATTTGAAGAAAGTTCATTATTGTGTATAACAGAATCATGCTGCACATTATCTTTGTTTACATATGATGAGACATTTTGAACATCAAAATTGTTTAACACACTACCACATAAATTATTATCATAATTACACCTATTATTTGGCAGAGAAATATACTGCTGAGAGGAAACATGTCCACCACCACACTCCCTCACAATTAGTTTAAAGATTTAGGCATTGTATCACCATTATTTACATTAGAAGCATGTTGATTAAAGTGTGAAGGTACAAAAGGGTTAACATTAGGTTGTTGAAAATTACCAACATTTGGAGACCTGAAATTTTGATCAGGATTAAATTGATTAACATAAGGATTAAAGTTATTATGACTGGTTGGTTGATTAAAACTTTGGCTCGACATAAAATTTCTATCTCTAAAATTATTATGAGAGTAAGAAAGTTGTGGCATTGACCGCATTTGATCGTTTAGAAATTTTCGACAAACATTTTGTTTATGACCTGGCTTTTTACAATAGAAACAAATTATTCTCCTATTCTTGAATGTATTATTACTTGTTCTAGGAAAATTATTTGAAATACTGTTTACTGTTTCATTGTTAGTTGGTTTAATTAAATTACGAAATTGAGTGCACTCGGCTAGTGAGTGAGCTTCATTACAGTATGAACACTTTTGTAGCAAATTTATTTTATTGCTTAAGGCGTCTATCTGATTTTGGATATTAAGGATATCTCTATTAGCAAGGGCGGCTGAACTTAATATGTTATGGGCTTCGGCTTGTAAAATAGTTTGCTGGGCAGTTGATATACTATGGGCTTTATCAATTAAATCTTTAAAGTTATCTGTCTTTTCAAGCATTAGCTTTTCTTTCAAATTCAGAGGCAAAGCATTTATGAGTTGGAGGGA